CTGCATTGACTGTGCCAGTCGGCCAGACTGTTTTGTAGGACTTTCACCGACTCATCAGGAGGCTGTGTGTGTGTGTGTGTGTGTGTGTGTGTGTGCAGATGGGCATTGAAGAAGGGGTCATAATTGAGAATGGAAACTGCTCAGTGGCGTCCTCGGACACAGATTCTGTTATTTGTTTGCCGCCAGAGACGCTAGATGATCTGTCACAGAAACCCGCCACTCCGGTATCCCCTGATGGCCATCCGTTCCCGTATAACCCTGATCTTCTACAAAATGACGCCTACAGTCCGCTGGTGGCAACACCTTTCAGAAATAAAAATGCCAGTGGGTGCGAGTACAGTGAAGCAACGCATGGAAGCAGGAGCAGTGGTGGCACCTATAGTGAGCAAAGCCCCAACACCATTGACGGGTCCATTTGCCGCTTCAACACCAGCGAGGGGAGCGGCAGCTTCGGAGAGGAGTTGCGGGGTCAAGTGGTGGGTAATGGGGGCAGCGACAGCTTCCTAGAAGAGTCGCGAGGTCCGGCTGTCAATATGGATCGTTCGGACAACAGCACCGATACAGAAAGGGTGGTCGAGGTGGTGAGTGCGACGGAAAACAATGCGAACAGATGGGACGCTCTCGAGGAGCAGGAGCCTTCGTCCCTGGAAGAGGCTATCTTTCTCAAGCGACCGTCCCTCGTGTACCCGAAGCTCGATGAACTGGAGACAGAGAAAGATAAAGCAAATGGCGACGTTCGAGAATCCCTTGAAGAAGCCATCTTTTTGAAAAAACCGACTTTCAAGCTTTCGGGCCCATCCCTTCGGGCGACATCGATGCGGGAGGTGCCCATTCTCCGTCTACCGTCGAAGAAAAAACGCGGAGGCCCATCGGGAGTCCCGGGATATGAGGGTCAAGTCCCCCGTGTAGGGCCGGCGGCTCATGAGAGTTCGACGGCTCGGTCTGATGAAGAAGTGGTTGATCTGCTGGCTGTTAGACTCCCGTGGAGTGGTGGAGCAGTGGCTGCTGCCGATTCAAAATCAGCAGTGTTGCAGTGGCAGGCTGACAGTGTTTGCAGATGGATCGAAGCAACTGTCCCGTTTCCGCCGAGCAGGGGCCTGGGTAAGTGAAATGCGAAAAGTTGGAGCGACACCTTATCCAGGTGATGTGCTGGTGTGTGGAAATCATATGAGCGCAATGTGAAAACTTGAAAAACAGAAGAATGAGGAAGAAGTGAGGGGTAGGGAATCCCATAGCCCTGTTCTTGAGGAGGGGGTGAACTCGTCGAGGCGCCGAGCCATGCAGCGGCCAATGTGTGCAGCCAATTCCCCCTCCCATCGTTAAACAATAAGTCATATATATATATATATATAGTCAAACAGAGCTGCCCGGTAAACCGTAGGCAGTATATGTCCTCTTCTCCCTCTCTGCCTACGGTTTACCAGGCAGCTCTGTTTGACGATATATACATATAAATATATAAATTATAATATATATATATATATATATCGATATATATATTGATGACATTCGTCAACATGATCCCCAAGCTGCTCAGCGATACGCCTTCACTTACCGCCTCATTGATGATGTTCTTTCATGGGGGCAATTACCTCCTCCTTCAGAGCACTATGGGCTTGAGTGGAAGGAAACTACGGCTACAGATGGCTCGTGTACCTTTTTAGGTATGCATCTACGAGTACGTTCTGATGGTTCGCTTCGCATGAGCGTGTTTGATAAAGCGGCTGCTTGGGATTTCCCTGTTATTCGCTATCCAAGTG